CTTAAAAGTACTATTAAAGATTCTCAGTGCACTGAAATTAATTCTTTTCTGTTAAAACATAGCATGACATTGAGTCCGACAACTTGTTAGTGCCACACAATTACAGTGTGCGAGTACTGATTTGCTTGATTATTTGCAGAAATTTTTCAATGTTCTCTTGTGCTTACAGAAAGTAAAATATTTTTTCCAACCCTGCGGTTTTGTTTTGTTTAGATCGCAAGTACCTTAAACGATCCTCATCGCCGGAGGAATACGACAATTCCCGAAGTGAGCGACAAAGTTTGTCGAAGTCGACGCGAGAACGCATGGAGCGCAAGAGAATCGAAGAGGAGCAACGAATCATGCGGGAACGGCAGAGAATCGAGGAACTGGAGAGACAGAACAGTTTGAAACATGAATCAAAGGAGCAGATCTTCCGAGAAAAGTTAGCAAAAGAACAACAAGATATCGAGAATTTGATTAAACGCAAAGAGAAGGAGAGAGAGAAGGAGAGGCTGAAGCAAGAGAGATTGTCGCAGCAGCTGAAGAAACGAGAGGAGACGGCACAGGAGGAGTTTTGGAAAAGTAAGAATGAGCTGGAAGAGTTGGAGACCGTCAAGGAGGTGCAGAGACAGAGGGACAGAGCGGAGACCTTGAGGAAAATACAGCAGAAGAAGGAAGCAAACGAAGTGAAAATTAGAGCAAGTGTTGCTAATGACGTCAACACTGAACATATGGAAGGTAATACATTTTATATAATAACTACAGTGAAACACGCAATGGACCTATTCCCTAATGAACAAAATTTTGATCTAGACAAGTCTAGACAAAAATTTCATCACAGCTTGAAAGAGCATCACAACATTAATAATATTCCAAAGTTTCGTTGCGAAATGTTGTTAAATGCGGATAATATAGCCTTGCGAAGTTTGCCGTTTTTCAGTCGTTTTGTATTACGCATGCACGGGAAATTGATACCTTTTTTTCGGAAAGCGGTGTATGGATCACGCAATCCTGCACGGAAAACAGTTTGATATTCCTTTATTGTTTTATATTTGAGGCCGATCACACTCAGTCGTTTACAGTAAGATCTGTCAGCCGTATTTCGGCCCAAATGTGGTGCATTTTCCTGCGCGTAATACAAATTGATGCAAAATTTGCAAATTTCGCAGTGCTATATTTTCCGCATTAGTTACAACATTTCGCAACCAAACTTTGCAATTTTACTAATTTTAACACGCTCTTTCTAGCTGTGGTGATAGATTTTGTTCTTCTTGCCTAGATCAAAATTTAGTGTATAACTGGAATCACCCTTAATATTAAAATGTCATTTTTACATGTTCTCTTTTAGATTTATCTGTGCAAGGTTACCATGCGCCTTCTGTATCGAGTACTGCGGTAGCGGTAAACAAATATGCGCCCGCAGTACCAAGTACAGCGGTAAATAAACCCGCGCCGTCAGCACCTGGAGCAGTGGTAAACAAACCTCCAGTATCGTCGCCCAAGAAGAAATCTGCAAATGTCAGTCAGTAAGTAACAGCCAGCGAGCTTTATATTGAGAAAAGTTAATCTTACCATCATAGTTCAGATAAAGCACTAAACATTCTTTTTAAGTTTGTTTGCCGCTTGAGAAACGTGTCGAAAATTTGAATATAGTCATAATCAAGTGGAAAAGTATATTATAAAATAACATGTATATATAACGCGTGTTCTGATTGGTGGATACCCGTGTTTGGATCAGGCCATCCAAACACGGAAGACTATTGTGTTGTTGTTATTTTATAAAACAATTACTTTATGGTTTCCCTGTTAGGATAGCCTGATCCAAACACTTGGGAATGTTGCTCGAGTTAAGAAAAGCGCGCAAAATCACTCGCCTTCGGCTCGTGCTTTCGCGCGCTTTTCTTAACTCTCGCAACATTCCCGCGTGTTTGGATCAGCCCATCCAAACACGGAAACCCTAAAGTAATTGTATATTCATTAGTTTTCAGCGCGTGGTACATAACATACAAAAAACTCTCCTCTTAATCGTATAGTTTCGGTTAATTGGATTCCTTTTCGGGTACTCCGGAGTTCTCGTGTAGTAATAGTGTTCCATTGTAAATTATCCTTGATGGGCTTCTAGAAAGAACAGTTTATAACAG